GGTCGACGACGACGCGCTTGCGTGCAACTTTTTTACTGCGCAGCTGTTTAGCGGCCAACGTCATAGAGCTGGGCAATGGTTCGGTCGACCCCGACGCATGTTGTCCTTCAGCGCGAACGTTTCTTTTGTTTAGCGGGTGATTCTGGCCAACTGTCGTTGCTCTTCGTCTCCCTGGCTGGCTAGCTGGGCCACTTTTGCAATTTGTTACTCGGCCATGTTCACACCATTAACGCAAAACACAGCGACGGACACCTTTGTTTTTGGTGTCCAAATTAATAGGCAATGTTCATGGTTGGTGTAATCGAGTGGACCCGTATCCAGGGTACGGGTTCGGGTGTGATGTGCTGAGGTGCTTCGCAAAGGATCTGTGATTAATGATTCGTAGGTATCGTGGCTTAATGCTGTCAATATATCACAAATACTTAAATAACTGATTATGTTTTGGATCGCGTATATGCGTGAGTGGTGCTTTGTGGTGCCACACTCATGCCTAAGTCTTGCAACATGTTGACGCCAGGGGCATGCCGCACGCACCAACAGCATCAAACCTGTTGTTGCTTGCAACTTGAGCTACAAACAACCGTGTTGCATGCGAGTTGCGACTAACACGCGCTCAGCTGAGAAAACTACCCTTAGGATATGGGAGAGTGAGCGTGAGTGTCTGAGCCGTAATCAGAGTGACCAGATATTATGGGGAAATATATTTATGCGAAATTGTGATTAATCATAAATATATAGAAATGTTGTTTTTATGTTGACGAATGAACCGAAATTTGGTTTTTATTTTGACGAAAAAAGCGCTGTCTTTTATTAAAAAAAAATAAATAAAAATAAAATTAATCACAACATTTATTAAGGCAGTAATTATTTGATTGCAATTACTGCCTTAATGAATGTTGTCATTAATTTTATTTTTTTTCAATAAAAGATTAATTAAGATTACAATTAAAAAAGTAATGTAATCAAATTTCACTAAAGACTTCCAGTCTGCATTATCTAATGTAATGCTCTACTAATTTGGCCTCCTTAAAGTCCTTTTTGAAAGCTATAAAGGGACCATATGATGTTAACAACCCTTATAAAACCTTTTGTGCTCTCCGGCTGCATAAAGCTAGCAAGTCGGAGAGCACAGCAAAATCGCATGAGGTTTCTCATTGCTGATTGACCGTTGCGTGCAGAGCTCTTCATTGTTGAAGCTCTCTGAGACTCGTTCGTGTTCTGTCCGTCGTTAACATTTGAAAAGAGCAAATTGGCTGTGCTCTTTAACATCTGCACATGGCGTTTTGTTGTTGTTAAACGCTTGACTACAGTTGCATGCCAACAGCAACAATTTCCTTTATAGCGGCAGACGCCAGCGCAGCAGCAGCAGCGGCAGCGGCACAGCTAGCATGAAGCTTTCTCAACTCCTGCCATACAGTTGCAATCAACTCGCTTACATGCTTGATGTTGTTGTTGTAGCTGTTATTGTTGTTGTGTTTGCTTTCAAGTTGTTCGCCGTTGTTGTTGCTATTAGCCTCAAGTGGCGCGCACAAACAAAGTCATCGTTGTTTTTGCTTCCCCTGCCCGCCCTCATTTTATATACATACATACATACATACACAAACACACATACTATATAGATACATATGTATGTATATATAACGTGTATATTTAAGGCGGCAAGACCAACTTGCTCACGCGACGCAGCTGGCTGCCTTTCGGTCTGTTCCAATAAGACGCAAACACCGCTGCCGTCGCCGCTGGCGTCGCCACAACTGGCGTCTTAGCTGCCGCTCTGCTCTGTTTCTGCTCGTGCTCCGGCAGTGCCTTGTTTATGCTCAGCGCCTGGCTATGACTGGCCCCTGGCCTGGTCTCGCCTGCCAGTTTCAGTTTCGCATCGCATTTAGTTGGGCTCACAACAAACGCAGCCAAAGTCGAGGCGAAAGACAACGAACGAATTAAAAAACGAACGCGAATCGGCGTGCCGCGATAAGTTTCAGCAACATAGCAACATTTAATTAATTCATAAAATTATTGAAATATTTTAAGCTCATTTAATTCAATTTAACACAAAGTAATGGACTCCCAGAAGTAACGTTTTAATAAAAGTGCAAAACAGCTACAGAAACTGCGACGACTACGTTAATTTTAATTATGCAAATTGTTGGGCTTAGGTCTAAAAAACAATATTCGGTGTATTTGTGAGAGTATCCCACACTTTGCTGACCAGGCGTCTCAGACAGAGGCAAGGAAAAACAAGGAACAACATAAACCGCTAAACATTTTCTGTTTCCCAACCCAACAAGATATGCGCTCTGTGCAACCCCCAGTTCGAGTTCTAATGAAATTTATGAAATTTGTGAAATGTTGAAAAAAAATTCCAATCCTACTTAAGCACATTTGAGCCTTTTAAGCCGTTTAGGCAGACCAGACAAGAAGGACCCCTTAAGTTTTTTGTGCTAAAGCTGTGAGTTGAGGGAGGTAATGAAGCACTGAAAAAGTCTTGGTACAGTAAAATTTTACAATGGGGCAGAACTTTAAGGAAATATATTGAAAAATTATTATTTTCTTAATTTAATTATTACTATTTTTAAAATAAACAAGTATATTCTTTTACCCTTTTTGTGTAGGTTATACTTATAGTAAAGTAGATTAAATATGAAATTGATATTAGTATATCCCTCTACATAGGTCTAACAGATATAAAGCTTTGCCTTTTGTTTAATGTTCGGTTTTAAAATATTGTAATGGGACTGTTTTAATTGTTTATTTATTTGAGCTGTTAAAAAGTTATATAAACCTTATATACCATTTTTACTTGTTTCTAGAATACTGTTCACAGGGTAAATAACGTCTTTACGGTAGACTTTTAAAGAACAAAACATTTAGTAAAAAGATATTCAGTATATTTTTAAAATTCGTTATATTATGACAATATTCATATTTTACTTATCTTAGACTCATACATTTTCAACAGAGACTTTCGAATATTTTTAAATACTTTTAAGCCAGAAATTTAAGATAATAATATACTATATTGTAAGTTTAGTCTGAAATTTTGATTCAAGATTTGCAAAAGGATTCACACTGTTATTAATTGAATAAATTCAATTTTCTTACGAAACGAGAAATAATACTTGTTGTAATGATCGTTTCGTAGCCAACAGGCCTTACTCCCCACAAACGTTCAGTGAGCTTAAAGCTTCTTCTAATGGTGCTCTTTTCTAGGATACACGTGCTTGTGTTTCATTGTCGCTCTCTTATCTAGCTCTTGTCTAGCCCATCGAACCATACGAAACACCTGAGTGTTAAAACGGCCGCAGCGGCCGACCAATTGCCACTCTTCGGCAATGCACGTGTAACTTCTGCTATTTAGTTCTCTCGCGCTCTCTTTCTCTTACGCTTGCTCTCACTGTTTGCGCCTCTGTACCTCTGTGTGTTTGTATGAATGTGTTTCGCTCACGTAAAAGCGCAGCGCAGTGTTTCCATACATTTTTGACACTTGTGACATTTTTGACACACAAATCAATTGTTACGTGAATTTTCAGCGCGTCGGGCAGCAGCAGCAGCGACGGGTAATTTATTTGTAAAAATTGCCATTGATTGGAATAAATAAATTTGTGTAATACTGTGAATTACAATGGCTGAGAGGCCTTTTACTGTTTTTTTTTTTGTGAAAATTAGAGATAACTTTTGGCTTGTCTCAAAACGTTGCCTACTTTCGTGCGCTGCTCGTGTGACATAATTTTTGAAATGTAAATTTCACGGCAAATTGTTTAAATCTCTCGTTGATTCGTTAACGCTAAAATATAGGCGTCTATTTCATATGCCTTCAATATGAACATTTTTTAACATTTGAGTGGATTTGCTTGGCACTAGTTCTTAAGGATGACATTTCTATCTGTTATTTGTTCACTGAACACACACACTGAACATATATATATATATATATATATATATATATATATATATATATATATATATATATATATATATATATATATATATATATATATATATATATATATATATATATATATATATATATATATATATATATATATATATATTTATATGTAAAGGCATACACGTATTCGTATAGTGGCTACAAACACATGCTTATTTCATCGTGTGTGCAAATCGATTTCTGTTTCCGGCATTTTTCACGTGGTTGCTGCCGCTGCGGCCCTAATCATGCCTTTCGTCCATCCACCCGTCGACGGGTACGTCCGTCCAGTTGTTCGTTCGTTTGTTATTACCATTACCGCAATGTTTAGCTTGCCTTTTCGTGCACTTTTACCATTTGAGTTTTGTATCGTTGTCTAACGATTTTTCCTCACACACATACAACAACCACACATTGCAAGGCATCGTGAAATACTGTGGGAAGGAATTGGAAAGCCGATTTGTTGTGCTAAAGTAATCATGAAGCAGTAGCTACCGCACTCTATGGCAAACGCGGCCAGTTGCCGTTTGATTTGCTGCGCGACTTTTTGGCTGTTTTCAGTCAGCTGCTGATTTTCACGGCCTATGTGTCGTATGCGCAATATTTTCTCAAGGCGCATACACACAGAATTCAAAGAAAATTGCCTTGCTTTCAGTTGAGACACTTGGATGCAGCCTTTTACTTTCACACAATTTTCAAAGACTGTGCAATGAAATAAAATATAAATAAACCGGGCATATATTTTAATTTAAAATGCCAATAATTGTTGTTAAATGTTAATTCTACAAAATCGAACGAGTGTTTGAAATCAAAAAATAAGTGTTCATAATGGCAGTAGATTCCATAATCAATAATTTGAAGAAATAATTAAACATAACTAATAAAGGATAATAATTCTAAAGCTAAATATGTTTAGGTGAAGTGAAAACCATTTAATAATAATAATGTATTAATCGAACTTGGGCAAACACTGCATTTTGTAATTAAATAAAAAAGTTTGCACTTTTATTGAAACGAATTTGCCATAATTACGACTCGCGTGTTGGTCGTGCAGATCGCATATAAAATAAAATAACAAATATAAATATATATTCGACAATTCAATGGTCGCTTGGATTGACTTTAACAAAACAGCGTAGACGAAATACGAATGCAAATTAGATGCAAAATAAATGGGTAAAATGAGGTCAAGTAAATACGATGTAAGTATTAACGGCGATGTGTAATTTAAAGAATTATGTATTTAATATTTTTAACAGTACTTGCAATGGCTTCGAGTTGTAACTAGAGAAACATATTTCCTGTTAGCCTAACGGCTTAAGTTTTTTATAACCTTTACCGGAAGGGTATGTAAGAGGGAGAAAAAAGCATTCTGACCACATAAAGTATATCCTCTATATTATATATTATTAATCGGCATATGGCGAGACGAGTCCATCGCTAGAATATCTAAAACCTAGGTATTTATATTCCCTTAAGCTCTACTCAGATCAAGTTAGAGTAAGTAGAAAAGTATGACTTCATGTACCTGATATGCATACATATTTATGTATATGTTTTATTTTCTATATTTAGTTAAACAAATTCAACAAATTGGACCCATTCCATCTTTTTTTAAATTCAGTATTCACTAAATCAAAGCTTAATTATGCTGATCTCCCTATGAATATTATAAAAGTCGTAGATAATTCTCTGGCGTGTGATATTCCTCACTCTATTACCCTTTATTTTAAAATACATATGGTTTGGTTGAAATCATTTATTTTAAATGAAATGTTGGCAATTTGTTGCGCACTAATCCTGATGCTTGCACCTAATGGCTTAAACATTTACGAGAACTCGAATTAATTGACATGCAATTTGTTTTCATTACATACACATTATGCTTGTAAGCAAATTCGTATTTTTGCTAAAATTGCATTACACGTAACGCACTCGATTCATGCTCAAGAGCCACTAATCTCAATGGCTTAAACTTTATCATATTATTTGAAGGTCAAATTCTAGGAGGCGTAAGCCAAAGGAAAAAATTTACATAATCACTTAAGCCATGGCCCACATTTTAAGTGATTATCTTAGCGGCAGCGGGGCACATAAATTAAAGCAAAAATGGAAAAGTGCAGCGCACAACTTGAGTGCAAAGACAACACATACGTGTACAGAACAGACGGTGCTTCAACGGCAAACGGACGGACGGGCGGGCAGACTGGCCGACAAGCAGATTGCCCAGCTGCCGCTGCCCTTAATCTTGAATTACAAATCGAGTGCAATTATCTGGGACTGCAATGAGTTTTGGCTTGGAGATCGGCAGCCGGAAGGCTGCAGTCGGCATGCGGACGGGCGCGCAATTTGTTTTCACACTTTACGACACGAGATTTGCATGGCGAGCAGAGTTGAGCCGAGTTGAGTAGAGCGGCCAGAAATCAATGTGTTCGATAAGCGCCAGGGCGAGCTGGTGCTGGTGCTGGTGCCGGTGCTGGTCTATGAGGTAGGCCTAGGGCCCGCTTCCAATTGCATTTGCATGTGCTGGCTTTTGGCTTGCGTGTCGCAGCCAGTTTGTCAGTCCGCCAGTTTGCCAGATTGCCGGCTAACCAATTGGAAACGAGCTTTGCACACGAGCTGCTGGAGCTGGGCATTAGCTACCGTGTGGGCCGCTGTGTTGCCAGCTGCTGCGCGCCTTTAAATTTCACATTTAATTGATTTGTCAACACACAGATATCTGACGGCGCCGTTGCCGTTGCCTTTGCCGCCGTCGTTGCCATCGTAGCTTCCTGGACGGGGACTCTAAGCCGCTTAGTTGACTGGTCGGCTGTTGGGAAGCGGCTTAAGTGAAGTCTTGTGTTTTGCTGCTCTAAGCGCACGAGTTATGCTGAATAAATTTGTGGCTTTAGTTGGAAAATGGAAAGTGGAGGCCAGTCAGAATTTGAAGCTGCCACATCAAAGGTTGCAAATGCAACAATCATCAATCAAAAACAGTGGCACTGCTGAAGAGGCCTGGCAAAAGGCGCACAAAAGATTTGCTGCCATTGTTCAAGCTGCCATCAGTACGATTCCTAACAGCCCCAGTAGCCAACTCAATCCTCAGCAGGAGCAGCCACTGCAACAAATTTGCAAGCTCATTGCGCGCTCTGCCGTGGGCGATAATGGCCCGGCTCAGATTTATCTTCGACTCTTTCCTCTGCCACTTCCTTGGGCCCATTCTCAGCTGCTTCCTTTGTCCATCTGCATTCTGCAGTCTGTGTGGGCGCGTTACGTGCCTTGAGTGTTGAACGGTGCCTGCTGGAGTTTTGAGTTCCCATGCGAACTCTCTCGTACAGTGGAGAAATGTAAAGATGCATTAATATTCTCCCGAAGGAATGCATTAAGTGGGGAATTCATGTTCTCACACAAAAACTGCGAGGAACTGCGAACGCGGAAAATCTCTTTTTGCAGCAGTTTAAATGGTTATTAATTATTACACTTAATATTGGAATCCAATTTTATCAATTTTATTACAAAATGGAAAACTCCTCAAGCACAATTGTATTAAATTAAATACAAATTTTTTCAATGAAATGTACATCAAACGTTTCGTATGATTGGGCGCGTTCAGCAGGTCGTAGCATTTGCGATTTGTGATTTTTGATTATCGATTTTGATTTGTCTCTGCCGACCGCTTGTGATGACTGTTTTAATCAAATATTCTCATTCTAGTATTTTTGGTCAAAAAGACACAGCTTGGGTCCCCAGCAAGCCATTTTATATCGAAAATCGAAAAATCGTAATCAAGTAATTATAATATTTCCCCGATTTGTGTTTTGTGATTTCGATTTACATTTTATTTATCCGAATCACAAATCACAGCGATCGATAAGAGTAATCTGTAATTATCGATTACAAATCGCAAACCGCTACGACCTGCTGAACGCGCCCATTGATTGTTTCATTAGTAGCCATAGGGAATGTAGAGGGAATATTGAAACCAAATTGAGTTCAGTTCTTAGGCTGAGCCGAAAACAAGGTTAGTTTTGAATGCATGCATTGACTCACATAATAGAGGCTGGCATTCTTTCGATAGAAAGGAAGCGCTCTCGAGCGAAAAAGTTGTTGCTTCCCACAAAATTTGGATGCAGATTTTTCGAGCAGTGTACAGAAATAAAATCACTTGACATTGAGATTAGATTTAGTATTGCAGGCATATTGAAGGCATATAGCACAAGGGGTGTTATGCGAACTGAATTCCCCATCTGTTTGTCCGCCTATCCGACCAAGATCTCCCGAGCAAGGATACACAACTGAACTGTCTTATTCATAGGCAGATAAAATCGATGGCAAACCTTATTACGTTAATCCGATAACAATACGATAGCGTAACTGAATTGATTCTCTATGTTCTAGAGTTTTACAAAAGTCGGCTTTTTTGATAGAATTGTCAAAATCCTGCAATTGGTTAGGCATGTATTGTTAATTCTTGATTGCATTTAAATTAAGGTTGAACCTATTTATTATCCCGACATTTATTTGGGTTCCACTTCTTCATTTCTTTCCATTGTGCATGCCAGGCACTCATTGGCTTTTTTATGCAACCTATGTATGTGTGCATGGAATTATGTTGTCTGGTGTTGAGCTTTTGTCTTACAGATGTCGGATAGCGCGTGGGCTGTGGGTTTTATTAATTGTGTGCGAATATGTGCACAATTTGTCAATACTATGTTGCAGACACAACCACTCGCACTCCCTATGTCTCGCTCCGATCCAACAAACAATCCACGTTCCAACCGTTTGCATAAGTGATTTGTGATTTATGAACTCACCATAATTTCCATGCATATTTAATACGATGTGGCGCATGGGCGGACGGACAGGCTAGTTCTTTAACTGCCTATCTGTGACTGCCGCTGCCTCCGGTTCGCCTATTTGCTAATTCTTTTCCACCACGTATATACGTACAAATGCTTTACGACTTTATAATGCCCGCTAATTGGGTCAACGCGGATGACGGAGGCATTGAAGGCGACGACGGCGTTGGCGGCGAATGTTTGAAATTTTTGATAAACGCGTTGTGGCGTTGCCTCCTGACACGACTCATACATATTAATTTTTAAAGGCAGTAGTCCCCAATGGGGTGTTTTACTGTGCCGTCAAGTGTCTAAATGGGTTTTGTGGCTGCCACTGCCATTCGGCCATTCGTGTTGACAGTTGCCAGTTGGCAACTAGTGAGTGGCCTAGTTTGGTTTGTTTACGGCTTTTGCTTCTGGGTGAAGGGGCTCCTCGGAACTAACTACCTCTAATTTTTGGCTACCCACAAGCAAACCGATTCGTGTTCTTCTTTCGTAGTGTCAATGCTTTCGATCTGAATCTATGAGTATCAAAAGGGAGTATCTAAAGGGTAGGAAAAACTCCTATATCTAACAGATACATTTATGAATTTATATGTTTGAGGAATATTCCGCGGAGAATGTATATTCCAATTCGCAAAAGAATTGCTTCCGTTACGTGGAATTTCTTAATTGCCTGAAAAATATAATCTTACTTCGATCAAAAGCAAATAGGAGTCGTTAGATCTACATAAAAAGCTTCTCATTATTAAGAGGAAGCAACCTGGAGAGCCCGTAAATTGTGAGCTCCTCCCTTCTACAGTCACCGATCAAAGTTATAGAAAGCGAAAACTCGACAATTTTTATTACTTTGTTGACTGCTTAGCCGGGAAAGTAAGTAATCCAATTACTGCACACATGTGCGGCTATCGCATAAATAAGACGTGCAGACAGTCGGCCGGCCATGGCGGCAGTTCCAGTTCCAGCTCAGCTTCAGCGTTCGCTTGAGCTTCGGATCCATCCCCTGGATGGAATCGTGGTGGGGTAAGTTGCATAAACATGCTCGATTGGGGCCGAGGTGGCCAGCTAGGCGGCCAGTGAGGAAGTAAGTCAGTCAGGCCAATGACGGACTGGCAAGCATTTAAAATATGCTGCATTAATATGCCGATAAATTTTGAACAAATCGAGTGGGCAACGAGGCATGAATCTTTACGAGGATTAGAGGGGCAGCAGGGGGCAGCGTAACAACAACTCAATTAGATGACAGCCGCGTTGCGTTGAAATTAAATGCCGTAAAATATTTGTATGCCTCAGTGACGACGACATCGGCAACAGCAGCAGCAACAGCAACAGCAGCGACTACAGACGGGTGGCAAGCAACGACTTTGCAACTTTGTCGCGCCTCC